GGTCGCAGCGGAGCAGACATGCGAGCCAAGTATGAAGCGGAGCACATAAAGTCGGCAGTAACCGAAACCATCCCCCACGAAACAGCGGCTGACCAGCATTATGAAAAGTGACGGAACCTTTTGACGCGAATCCGCCCACAAGAGCCGATCCGCAAAGGGGGTTTCGATAGATTAAAGGAATGAGTATAGGAACTTGGTAGACGACTCAAAACCACCAAAAGGTGGTTCACGAGGATGGTGTTGGGTTGCACGACGAGCGTGCCATTTGTGAGCATCCATTAGTCCGGTGGGTGAAATTCAGCGTTCATCGACAAGCCACTGACTTATTCAAGTCCTCAGGGCATGGCGAAACATACACTGATGCTTAAGAAATACTAACTGAAATTCGTTCGAAAATAAATCACAATTCCAGGGTTTGGCTGCGATGCCGAAGAGTTTGGAAGAACGTTTTAGATAGATTTTTTTAAGGATGGCAGGCTGGTCCTTGGCCGAGAAGCTTTATGGGCTCCTCTGTCGATTTTATTTTCGAAGGCAGTATTACTTAGGTAGCATATGCTTTTATACTAAAAACCATTCTGCCAAGCGCGCTACTTGCTACAGTTGTGTTCCATACGTCGAAATCGGAATGCCTTGTCCAAATAGTTGGAGAGGAGAGATACGTTTGTCTTTGGGAAGGAGAGCGGAGAGTAGAATAAATACGCAAACACTCAGCGAATATTACAAAAATACAATGGGCTCCGATACATCAGTACACGCTGGGACAAAACCTTCTGATCAATCAAGCGGCTGACCCAGTTAGCTGGAGTTTCAGTGCAGGCCCACAGACTAGGAGTTTTCCCAACCCCTGGATCATTCTTCGACGTCGTTTTTCACCTGCAGAATGGACAGGATGTCCGGATGGGGTTCGCACCCGGTAGGAGGGACGGATTCTTCGAGGGGCTTCGGTGCTCATAATGGTTGCTTCGCTTCGGACCTGCACAACCAAAAACACGGGACGGTGTGGCGATTCGCGCCTTCTTGCTCTCCACCGCTTTGTCACACAGCTCCCCTGTCCGCCCCACACTCCCTGTCGATCCGCTGCTGGGACGCGCGAGGCTTGTCACTAGCCTCGCGAGCGCCCGAGGCCTATCAACGCTGCCCTTTCTCTGATTGGCTGGCGGATACTGAGTCAGCGCGAAAAGCGCACATATGCGCTGGGGCCTAGGCACCTCAACGGCGGACACATATACAACTTGCCTGGAGAGACCGCTCGCGGCGACTGCATGCAAAGCCCTCGTGTACGCACTTCCTCAGCAGTAAAGGTGGCCAACCCAATCCGTCTTCCCTAAGTTCTGATTTGGGAACCTCTGTCTTGTTGATCATACCATCCCGGCAGTGGTTCGACGACAACGATGCGGAGCTTCAGTGCCTGTCCTCCGCTGAGTATCCGGTTCAGCAGGCCTCACAAAAACAACGACATCGCGGAACAGAAAACGGAATTCTTCAGATGAAAGAAAGAACAATTAGCCGCCCGAAATTCAGAAAGGATCCAAGGGTAAGCCGGTTGCGATAAAGTGAACAACTTCACGGATGTCTAAACAGTCTACGAATCACTGGTCAAACAGAAGATGAACAGAGCTGCATCTTGATAAAAAGTATGTACAACACGGAAGCCCTGCCAGTATATCAAAACCGAGAAAAGATACCATTGTCATTTAAGACGTCTCCGAAGAATACTAGGGATGAAGTGCCAAGAACGGATTTGGCACATCCAACTCCTTGAGTCTACCGGCATGTTCAGTGTGCTTGCAACCTTGAAGTTGCGTCAACTCCTGTGCAGCGACTGCGTCGTCAGAATGGTTGATGACTGCCCGCCAAAGAGATTCTTTTACGATGACGCCTCTACTGATGTTGGTCTTGGACGAGGTCATAAGAGAAGTTTAAGTTCTCCGAGATAAATTAAGAAAAAGAGTGTACTCTTGCGTGTCGAATTGGCAGACTCGGAGATGGGCCGTCAAATTTACAGCAGCAACCTTTGAAGTCAGCCGCATGCAGCATGCCAAGGTGAAGCGGCAGTCACGAAAACCAACGTTGCCAGTACCCGATTTCTGTCAACCGGAGTGGCGAAGGTGTGTTTTCACCGAATTTCTGTCAAATGAAGTCTTAAATGGGCGAATCTCTGAGGGTATAACTGCCTAAAAGGTGTACGCAGTCAGCGCATTATTTTAGTGAACTACAGTTAGTGACCTAACTGATGAAATGTGTCGAAATTTACGAATGATTGTCAGTCACTCGCAAAGCGACAGCATTTCATGAGTCCGTTTTCTATTTTAATTAAGTACAAGTTTAAAAGAATTAAAAACATAAAAGAAACATTAACGGCAGGGTTGCGTTATTTAGAAAATCCGATTTGTTTTGAAAAGCGCAATATCCCGAAAATGCCAAAAATGGCTCTAATTAAGTAAAGTTCGTTTTTAGATGTATAGAATGTATTCTCATACCAAAAACGTAGTAAATATGAAAGTAGATATAAAATAACGTATAAAAACACTTTTTTATTGAACTTTACATCTAAAATCATCTAATAAGTAGTGTGACTTCATATAGGGCGGCTTTTCAACTGCCTACATTCTGGGTGTAGATTCCAAAACAGGTTTCCAGTGTTTCATAACTTCCTCTACTTTTAAGATTAAAATCTGATGAGTTTCAACTGCAGAAGCTGGATTTTGCCTGATTTCGCCGATGGGGACGTCGTAGGATCAAAAGTTTTCATAAGGTGGCATGCCATGAGGCCGGTCGGTGCCTAATAAATTTAAATAGAACTGACAGGCGTGATCGTAAACATACCATTTTGTGTTTATAGAGAGAACTTTTTTTCCGTTAAATTAATTTATACTCTTCTTTCGTTTTGGATTACGTTGAGTTTCAGATCAGCCTCGAAATATTGCTGAATACTTCATGATTTTCAGTGTTTTCATCCGATCTTCCATAAAGACAGATTATGAATAACCTGTCTGTTAAAAACTCTAAATTAAGATTGTTCTTGAAGGCATTCACCGAATTAGTGAGTGTTCAGGTGCTCCTTTTCACGAAGATG